ATTTTTCCCAGGTAGGTGGAACAGGATGTGTAAGGGCATGTGATTCCAGCATCCCTGAGAAGCTGCTTTGTGAAACTGCTGTGTTTCATCCATTATTCTTTCATTTTACATTGCAAGTCAAGTCAGGACTTGAGGCACAGCTGAAGGCAAATGGGATGGAGGCAGGAGGCTCAGACTGGCAGAGGAGGGCACCTACCAAAAAGCTCCCACTCCTTTCAGCAAGGCAGCAGAGAGTGAGGAAAGGCTGGAGCATAGCAGGAGGTGCAGATAATAGCAGTAAATGCTGCATTTAATCACATTGTGCAGTGGGGTGGAAATGAAGTCTTACTCTGAGCTTGTAAGTGAAATACAAAGAGAAGTGAAAGGAAAGAAAGCACTGGGGGAAAAGAGCAAAGAGGTCAAGACCAGGGAGAGCAGGGTAAAGGAAACAATTCAGGAGTTAAGTTGTAAAAGCAGTGGCAGAGGAGGCTTAGATGGCTGGAAGCCATCACCAGGACAGTCCCACTATCACCAAAGGAGTTTTCTCCCATGGGGTGGAGGTTCCCCACAGCTGCAGTGCCAGAAGAGGAGCAGGGGTGTGCTCTGCAGGGTTTTGGTCACACAGCTCTGCTGCCTTGAGGGAGCTGGGGGAAGCAAGGTGTAGCAGCAGCCCTGGGATAAAGTTTGTCTCCAGCCTCTGGAAATGGTTGCTACTGGTGAGAAGAAATTAGATTTTCAGCCTCCTCATGGTTCATGTGTTAATCTGATGTTGAGATATCACTCTGAATATTTCACCACAGTGTGATTTGACTATAGAAAAGATGCCTGGATATCCCAAGGTGTGTTGGTAATAATGAACACCAGCAGCTGGGTAATGCCTGATCTCTGATTCAAGCCACTGGCAAAAATTCATTCTTTTTATTTTTTGGTAGCTACTGGTTTTGATAATACTATATTTTATAATTGCTGAAGCAGCTGAGTTTTGTTATGTTGCTGCAGTTTTGTGTAATTACTCTCCATCACTATAATTTTTCTTTTAGTTAAATGCATTGGAGGTTATAAACTCTTAACTATCAACTATAAATATTCATGGGGAGTGAGAATAGTTCTAACTACCATAAAAGCTTTTTCCCAATAATTTTGGCTAGTGCTCTGTATTTACACAGGTTGCTTTGCTGATGGTGTTGTGGCATAAGTAGAAAAAAAAATAATATACATATCACTTCAAGCAACAGCCAGTCATAGACCCAGGTCCCCTATAGTCTGCTCTGCTGAGAATTCTGGGCCCCTCCACAAAGGGCAAGAAGGAGAGGTCTCCCAATGTGAATGTGCTATAAAACAATATTGTGTTTCCCTTAAGAATTGCAGTGATAAAAACATAGCCCATTCTGCAGCACTAGCAACTTTAATAAAATAACATAAAGCACAGCTGTCAGGTCTGCCAGCATCTCACACTGGGAGACATGAGTGAGAAAATGAACACTTTTCACAAGCAGAAATATTCAAAGAGCTGCACTGTTTACATGTAATCAAGACTGACAGTCATAGATTATCGGTGGAAGAGCATTTTCTGCTTGAGGTGAAAGAAGAGGATAATTTATCAGGAAGCCCAAGAAGTCAGACATCAGTAATGATCTGCTTGAAGAAGGGCATATCTTAGAAATAGTGCATTTATTTGTACTGCAAGGCAAGAAGATGTTTGGAGTTATAAACACGAGCCTTGGTGCTTGAGGAATGTTGAGCAGACCCAGTGTGTAATTTGCTGGGCAGCTGTGATTGGAGACCTGACTAATGTATGTCCCAGTGCTTGTTCAGAAGATTAAAAGAAAAATTTAGCATAATAGAGATTGTCTAAAAGAGCTGCTCGTGCTCTCTCATCCTGTTCCCTCCTTTTGGAGTTCTCCAAGCTCTGCTGAGGGCGTTGCTCACCTTCCTGTTGATGCTCAGGGTTCAGAGACACTCCTGTAAAATGCCTACAAACGGGTTTGGTTTCAGAGAATTTGGGGCTTTTGGAGTTTTGCACTAAAACATTTTGTCCACCTGGTGCAATGCTTTTGCATCACCTCTCTCTTATGAAAACAGGCCAAATATCAGCTGCTTTGAAATGGTAACTAATTTGGAGCCCTACAGAAACGGTTTTATAGGCTCACCTTGCCTTGGTGTGCTCTGAGTTTGCAGAAGTAGAACTGTTGTACAGAAAGTAGCACAAACTTCAAGCTAGTCTGTGTTTGGATATGTCTGATTAAGGATGTCTGCTCAACTTATCCAGCTTGTACTCTGACAGGGGTAGGCAAGATGGATAAATCACTATTTTTATGAATAGTTATCTGGCAAATAGAGGCACTGTTTTGCCCTTTAGGTTGAACAGAACCTTGGAGTGTTCTCCAGGTGCAAGAGAGTGTTGCTCCCTCAGCTTAATCCAAACTTTCAATACAAGTCAGATGTTTGCAAAGATTCACAGCTGGGACTTGCATGTATGTGTCAACATGAGCACACTCTGAGGCACAGAAGTCCCTAAGAAACAAGTTTCAACTGTTATGTTTGTTCCCCACCTGAATTCTGAATCAGTACAATTCATTACTGAAATGTCTATGTTCTCCTCTCCTGAGAGCAGCTTTACAACTTTTCAGCCACATTTCAGTTCTCCCCATGAGGGCCTCTGTAAGCTAAAGCTAAAGCTGCTTTTTACTTTTTTTTTACTTTATGTAAAATCTTACTTTATGTTAATTTTTTACTTTATGTAAAATGTTTTTGTTTGTTTTAATTAAGAGAGATTAAGACAGTCTCTGTAGTATTTTGGCTGGGCTGCTCTGTGTCCTGGGGGCTGTGCATGGCAGCCAGGGCTGCTGGGCTTCCAGGCAAGTTTCAGGATTCATTGCTGCTCTCCATACATCTGTTTTAACCTCAAAGATTGATTATTTTTAAAGGTTAGCAGTTATGTAGCAGAAGAAACCCTCACCTTTGCCAGCTTCAAGAAGTCACTGTGGTCTGTAACTGCACAGTTTTAATTTAGACAACAACAACAACAGCCATTGCAGGTTAACCCTCCTTATTACTACTCACTCCAGGATTTTTTAAGAGGAAAAAAAAAATCACCACCTACCAGTCCCACCCCCACTGCACCATCTCCACATGGAGCCAGCCTCACCTGGAGTGTGCAGAAATGAGAGAGAAGGGAGAGCAGCAGCCAAATCATGTCACTAAAAGCAATTCTGGGTTAAACAAGGAGACCTTGAGGAGCAGGGGCAGCTCTCCCTTGCCTTCCAGCCTTTGCCTGCTGCACCTCCTACCAGCATTAGTTTGAATGAGCAAAACTCTGCTTTTTTCAGAGAACAGCTCACACCTCAGTCAGATTGACCACCCCTTGCCTTGTCCTGGTGCATTCTCCTGTGGGGTGTGAGCATTCCCAGTCCATAGAAAGCACAGGGTGATGGAAACTCTTTCCAATAACTCATGGCAGGTCAGCTGTGGTGCCTCCACACCCTGTGGGTGTGAGCAGAGGGTGACAGCAGAGCTGTGGACCCAGGGCATGTGCTGACAGCGTGTTCACCACACCAGTCCCTGCCTTTTAAACCTTTCTCATTCTGTGGCATCATTACAAGATTGATTTATAATATACTTAGTACTAATGTAACAATGAAGATTAGTCTTCTCTGAGTCGAACAGTAATACACTTTAATTTGCCTACAGCTACTGCATTGTATTGGCATGAAAGGAAATGGTTTTCTAATGCAGCTTCATCTGCTGAGCAGGGGGAAATCTGTGCTGCAGAGTGTAAAGCTACATGGGACTCTAGCTGGCAGCAAAATTCAGAGTAGGAGAAACATAACATAAATAAAAGTATTTGTGAGTTGGAGGTGTGCTAACAATCCTAACATTCCATATCCAGTAATGCACTTTGCTTGGAGGTTCATGATGGCTTCATCTTTGTTTTTTCACCACTTCATCTTCTATATTATAATTTTTCCTGCAATAAGAGGTGTAAATTCATTAGTTTTCAATTTTTTTTTTTGTGACATTAACAGGAAGTTGGTATTATGAAGTTCCTTAGAAGCACTGGTGCTGTTAATGCAGTCTGTGCTGTGCTCTAAACCTCGAGAACCACTGGAATCTCAACACTTGATCTGTTAAGTAAATGTTTCTGCTGTCTGGTGTAAATGCTGCCTTCACTTGACAAGTGTCAGGCGTTCTTTGAAGGGACATGTGCACAAATTGTCACTCAAGTGCCAGTATTTACCCTAATGTGGAGCTCCCCTCTTCAGGAAAGCAGCAAAGCTGTCAGCTGCTCCCTTCTTCTTGAGTGGCAAAGGAAGAAATTATCATGTCTGGGACAATATCATGTAACAGTTACTGCATTTGGGATAGAGCAAATTTTTGTGGGCATAGTGTGCCAGTTGGACACAAAAATTATGTTTCTTATACTTTTCTTTCCCCCAAGAAATCAATGAAATATAATTATGCTTAAAATAACAGGTTTTGTTTCTAGACCAGAGATGTGCCTTGCTTTCAGCAGTGGCAGGGAAGGATTGATAACTTGCATGCAGAGAAGGAATGAAAAAAATATTAATGTAAACTGCTGGTGGGAAACAGTTGCAACAGGGCCTTATTATCACAATAGGTCTTTGATAGGAAAGGTGGGCAGAGGAAAAGACAGCGAGAAAAATTCACAGGAAATAGTGACAAGGTGTCCAGCTCACTCCTCTGGTGGGGTGGGTGCTTCAGAAGACCTGAGTGTTCTCCTGTTGGTTTATCTGCCAGCTTTGCATCAATTACCAACAAAGTGTCTGAGCATCTGCCCACCGAGCTGAGCCTGTCCCTGCCTGTCACCCACCCTGGTGCTGTCCTTGTAAATGCAGCCACTGTCACCACTCTAAACCAGCAACCTTCACCCTTCCTCTCTTCATCACCAGGTCCATCCATCCTGAAGGCACATGGAATAGTTTGATTGATTGCCCTAAATTTGACATTAAAACTGAAAAAATAATAAAGTGACTTTTCTTTTTCTTTTCTCCCTCAAAAAGCTGCAGCGCCACGACAAAGATGATTCCCCTGACAAGTGGAGGACAGAAGAAGAAATGGCAGCTGAAGCAGAAATTCTGAAGAAGTATTTCCAGGAAAATTAGAGGTAATGATCTGACCATTGACTTATTCCTGAAGCACCCAAGCCTTTGCTCAAGCCTCCAGAGGCTTCTTGAAGACAACAGGGCAAATATCTAGAATGAAACAAAAGAAAACAAAGCTCTTAGTTTTGTGCTGTTTCCAAAAGGTCACAGCACTCCAACAGTGGCTGAAATGACATGCACCTTCTTGAACAAATCAGCACCCTCCTAGAGCATTTTGCTTCCAGACAGCAAAAATAATGGTGTGTCCAGAAATGAGAATCATCAGCATTTACTGAAGAGAAGTCTTTATCATAACATATCCTCCCACTGTTTTTAGGACAGAAAACAGCCCTGGTACCTCTACACAGAGCTAGAACTGGTGTGTCTGTGTACAACCACATATGCATATGCACCTATACATACAAAATTGCATCAGAATTCAGACTATAGTGGGGATAAATTCTAACCTCACCTGTCAAGTATTAAATTATTTGATCAGTTCAACTTCCAAAACTAAGCCTGCTGGAAAACTGCCTGTTCTGCTAAATTTTCCACTGACCTTAAAAGAAAAAGAAAGATTTGCAGGGAGGAATAGAAAAGAGAAAACACTTGGCAAACACTAACATTGGTGCTCTAGAAATTGAGAGTTTTTCATTTTGTACCTGGGGTCCCAGGAGCCAGATTCTTCCAGCAGAAATGAACTGGCCTCTAGAGATCAATGTGAGTTAGGCTGGGAGGTAATGCTGCAGCAAGGATGCCAAATCTCCCTCTCCCCTGCTCCCCATATGCTGTTTGCCATCATCCAGCACTCTCACTTCTCTGTCATTTCTGGCTGTTTCATGTTTTTCCTCTGTAGAACCAAAATCCCAGAAATAACTCTCCTCTCTCTCTGTGACTCACTGCTTGCAGCCTGGCTTGAGAAATCTTGAGCTAAACCACACACTGTATGGGTGGCACACTTAGGTGGCAGCTCTCATCTCCTGTGCCATGCAAATGGCAAATTCAAATGCTATTTGGATGGCATTTTGGATGACTCCATTTGGAGTTCAGCAGATTTCCCCTTCCATTTTTTTTTTCTTGCATCGTGACCATGCTCTTGTCTTCTCCAGCCAAAGGAGCTGTGCCAGCCCTTCTGTGGGTGCACAGAAAAAGCCATGGAACACATTTATTCCCATCTGGGAAGGAAATTCCTCCCCAGCAGCTGGGACCTCCAGGGTTTGGAGCAGCAGGGTTTGGGCTACACAGTCACATTTCTGCAGCGGCTGCTGGAGTTGCATTTAGACACCCACTTTTCACCTTCTCAGAAATATGCTGCTGAAATGTGAATTACTCAGGCAGGAAGAGCATATCCTTGGTAATGCATGTGTAAGCACTCTTCTCTAACAGAGGCATTATGTGGTGCTTCATCTGTGGCCCAGCAACCAATGACTAGTACTTAGGGGAAAATGGCACATCCCTATCCCAGTGTGATATTGTTTCCCTTTATTGATTTGGTAGGTTTTGGGGGGATTTTTTTTGGTCTCCTCAGAAATAAATTGGAAATGCATTTTTTCCTAGAGATTCTCAAAGGAGTTGGAATTAAATCCCCACATATCAATAAAATGTTCTTTATCTCTTCTGATATTAAACACAAGCTGGACAGATGATATAAATCCTTTCCTGCAAGCAAATTGGTGTGGCTGGACATCTATTTCCATTTATTATGAAAATGAGTCAGTGTGTGTCTGCATGGATGACCTCTTGATACGTTTCCCGTGATATTAAGGTCATTACCTTTCCTAGAACAAACTGGTAAATTAAATCTTCCTGGCATCATTATCATGAGAGTGCCTAGTCCTTCCAGCCCTTGATTCCCAACATCAGGCATCACTGTCAATCTCTTCTCCCCAACATTATTTTGCTTCTGAAGCTTAAGGCTCTGAACCTGAGATAAAGGTGTATCTATGCATTCTGCATTTCTCAGCCTTTGTCTTCTCTCCTAACCTTGCTTCTAAAGCCATGAAGATTGAAAACATTTGGCAAATTAACAAGGTTATATGCATCCTTCTTTGAAGCTATTTTTGCATTTCACCTCCAAAGGATTTATTTTGCCATTTGTGGGTTTACCTGAATGACACTTGACTTGAGGTTTTTTCGTGCAGCATAGGGAAAGTCAGAAAGAGCTGAATGTGGGTGTTCTGCAGCCAATTAATAGCAATTTTTTAGGCTTCATGCATTATTTTTGTACTTCATTGCTTTGTTTAAAGAAGCCCAGCTTGGCCAGCTTAGCCTGGGCAGACTGAGCTGTGTTTAGGGCTTTTCCAGCTATTCTCACATTTATCACAAGTCCTTCTCCACCTGCCACAACTCCTGTATGACTGGACAAGGTCCAGTAGCACCTTTTACATGTATTTAGAGACTATCTAATCAAGAAGGACTTGCAAGCAACTTTTTCCTAATAAATACTTGAATAAGGCAAGCAGCTCTTAGTTCTCTCCCTACTTCATTTGCTGGTGCTGTTCCCTCTTGGCTGCCTAACTACAGTTAAGTGCTTCTACATCAGTCCCCAGATGACCCAAAATATCCACCCACTTGCTTAAGGAAACGAACACATTTAGCCCTGCTAAGTTTCCACCCTTGAGAAAATGCTTATCTTTAAATATTTTATCTCTGTGTGCAATATCAGTGAAGGAATTTGTGCTTTGCATGTGTTTCTGCTCTTCCCCCGGGTGTCCCCATGCCACTGTATCCCACCTCATTAGAAGGACTTGTTCTTTCTGCTCACAGAACTGTGTCTGCACAGCTGAAGCTCAGGAGAACTTCATGTGACTCTGGAAGAGAGAAAGAAAAGGAAAGAAAAACTTTCTAGGGGAGGATATTTAATATAGAATTTCCCCAGTTAGTCACTCTGTTGTTAGTAGCACCAAGATTTTACTTTTTTACAGCCTCTTTGGGAGCTGTTTCTCATTCTGTGTTGGCTGTCCTCTGGTCAGCTGTGTTTGATAACTTGGTTGCTTTTTCAGGTGGATGCACAGGGAAAAGGCCCCTACTCAAAGAGCAGGATTTGATGCAGCACCCTAATTTCCAAGCCTATTTTCAGATGTGCCTCTTGAATTTTCTGGCTATGTATAGCTGGGTGTTTTGATAGTCTGTTTTGAGCATTTTAAATTGCACATGCCAGCAAAAAGGCTAAAGATTAAAAGACTTTAACCTTCAGATAGTATGTGAAAAACGTTTCTCTTCAAAGGCAGCTTCACTCTGTGTTGTTATTTCTGAAGAAAGAACCAGGCTGCACAAGTTTCAGTATTTTTCCTGTTTTGTGCATAACTGAAGTAATACTTTTCTGCCATTAGAAAAGTAGTCAGTCTTAAGAACAATGTCAAAATGTCCCTTTGCATAAAGAAGTTGACAGTGATATTCTGTTGCCAAGTGCTTGGAGTTACAAATATTCAATAGCTTTTAATTGCTTAACCACCTGAATACTTTGTGTCCTGCAACATGCCAAATTCTTGTAGAAATCCCTTCAAATAATGTGTCCTGCACAGTCTTGCAGGATTTCTGATGTCAGTTCTCCCCCTTGTCCCCAGTCTGGCAATGTTTCTGGATAATATAATCTTTCCAGCTTTTCTAAAAAGTATAAATTTTATTCCTTTTTCCCCCCACTCATTCTTTGAGAGCACTCATCCTGCCTCACAGCTGCCTGTTCTGCACCAAGATTCTGCATGTGTGAAAAAATGCTGTTCTATTGCCTTCAGCAGGGAAATTACCCCTGATAGCAGCAGCTGGCCAGGGGGGAATTTAAACTGGCAATTTGACTTGCATCTGATTTTGCTCCAGCACCTCTGGAGTGTGACAATCCATGCTGCATGCATGAGAGTGAACACCAGAGCAATCCCATCACTTTCCTTAAATTTAGGCAAGTATACAAAATTACTTGCAACACCCATCTTTGCTTGTTTTACTGTAAGAAAAACCCTCCTATCATTTCTGGTACTTTAACCTGCATAAACCCACAAAGAAATGGCTGTGTCTGTGATCCACAGGGTGAATCTGGGATGCAGTGAGGACAGTCTGCCCCAGAAGATGCTGTGCCTGCACCTCCAGAGCAGGCTGACCCCTGGCTGGGCACCACAGGCATGGCCAGAGGTGTGTTCTGCACTTGGTGCTGCCTGTTGGCACAGCAGAGTCCCCAGGCAGCTTTGAGGAGCACAGCAGGCTGGGCCATGGGACACGGGAGCAGGGACAAGGGTGCAGCAAGCAGAAACCCTCAGTGTTCTCAGAGCCTCACTTGATAAAGCTGAGCAACCTTTTGAGTGCTTACACTGGAGTTAGAGCCAGGTGGTGCCTGGGCTGGGCAATTCCCAGAGGGCATGGTCTGGGAGCTGTTTGTGTGTAATCCTGGAGTAAATACACATCCCAGTAATCTGCTATAGATTTCTCTGCACTCCAGACTTAAGTGCTATTAATTATATCCCCCACTCAGAAGCCTCCAAGAAGCATTAATTAGAAAGCAGGAGCTGGCAGTTTGCTTGCCTGTGTGAAACTATTATGACCTGGGAATGAAGTACAAGCTTCAAAAGAAACACATTTTATGAAGGTCACCTTGAAAAATATCATAAAAATCTGTCAGAAGAGAATGCGGCACTCCAAGTGTGCATTTCAGTGTGACATTATGCTTTAAGTAGTTGGAAATAGCAAAGAGAAGATGGATCAGATCATAGGGTCTGTGCTTTTCTACCCAAAACTCTCTTTTTTCTGCAGTAAGTACATATAAAGTAATGTTTTTGTCATTTCAATGGGATGCAAGGAAAATTAATTATCAACACCAATCCAACAAACATAATCTGCCCTTGCTGGTAATTTTTAAGTGTAAAATATCCAGACTCTCCAACTCTGCAGCAGGGAGGAGGTTTACACAGGAATTACATTACCTCTTCAAGGTGTAAACAGCCAGAAGTGGTGCAGTGACTGCACAGCAGTGACACCCAGACTGGAAAGCTCAGGGCAAAAGGCTTTCCCAAATAAATGTGCTCTGCTAATGCACAGCAGCCTCAGTGTTGAGGTTGATTATTTTTCTGGTTGAAGCATGTGATTATTTCTTATGAAAACAGAGCTACAGGAGAGCTAGCTGGAGTTATAAATGAAATGTCATCCTCTTGTGGGAGGCAATGATGTCCTCCTCACACCCATTCCAGGGCTCTGTTTTGAGGCTGAAAGTAGCACTGTCCTGAAAGTTATACATTATTATACAAAGGTATTTCATTTCCCTGTAGGTGGCCATTTAATTCAGCTGTCCAGTACATGAATTCCATACAGCACTGCTTGGATCTTGTAATTATGGCTACAGTAGAAACATCAGGGCCAGGGACACAGACACGATTTTACAGCAGAAATGCAAAGCAGCAAATGTGTTTCTGTTGGTGAAGAAAGCTGACAGCCAAATGTTCTCTTAACCTGCACATCCAGCAGCCTGAATGCCTACCTGGGCTGCCTGTCAAAATCAAATATTGCCAGTGGGATCAGTTCTTGATTCATCCTTGGCTTGGTGTGTCTCATTGTCCGAGAGGAAAATGGGGGAAGCTGAGCATAAGTGGTGGACATTTGATTGAGGACCTGGGGTGAAAGAGCTGAGGTGCAGGACAATGCTGAGCTTCAAATAAGGATGATATCAACTGTGACCAGGTATTTTTACACCCAAACCTGTGCTAAAATGGTGCAAATCTCTTGCCCCCAAAGCTGCCAGAGGATGCTCCTCCCGAGCAGCCAGACCCTCCTCGAAGCAGATTCACAAAATCCGTGCCAAGTGATTCACAGGCTGCCATCGAACTGTCACTCACGAGGGGCTCACAATGGAAACTGTTGCTCGAAATGCCGTGGGAATGGGAAGCATATGTTTGAGTGAGAGAGACAATCAAACAAAGGAGTGGGTGGCTGGGGAATTGCAGCCACAACAGCGGCAAGAGCCGAGCCTCGCGCGCAGCCCCGGAGCGAGTTCGGGGGCTGTGCCCTCATCTAACACTTGGGTAACAGCTCTGTGCTTAATAAGCTGAGATAATTTCCCCAGTATTGAAGCCAGCTCTAAACATGTTCTGAAGTGAAGGTACAAAACTGAAGATACCAAGCCAAAAGCCTATTTCGTGCTCAATTATAAGCAAAGGTTTGTATGTGGTATCCCGTTGCTGTAGCTGCTGCATAATAGAACTGCCCAGAGAGACACTGGAACCAGCAGCTCAACGTGACCTCAGAGCTTCAGCACTGCCTTTGTGTGAGTGTCGGTATCGAGGCTGTGTAGGTGGAAAGGCATTAATAACTCCTGCAGTAAGCAGTTATTTGAGAAGGGAAGGGGGTGATGGATATTGGAAATATGTTGGACTGAGCGTACTTGAGGCTCTGTTGTTTGCCAGGATGTCAGTCTCTACACAAAAGCAGAGGAATTGCAGGGATAAACTCAAATGCCCCACTTGTGTCAGCACCTGGGAATGCTGCAAGCCTCCAGCTACCACTGCAGTAGCACCTGTGCCGAGAGTTTGTGCAGGGATTTCACAAACAGCTTCCACAGCTTCAGGCTCTCAGCATTTCTATTTCTCTGCTTCAAGAACACCTTCACATCTGTCATGGCACCTATTACATGTCTTTTACTAGGATGGACCACCAAGAGATGTATAAAATTGGAGCAGACATGGTAAGAAATGCCCCATTTATTCTCCAGCATGTGAGGCTGGGGGCGTTTTCTGGGTGATGGTCCCAAATCACTGGTTTGTAATTCCTTGGCATTAGGCAGAGTCCCACCACATGGTCAGGATGGAGGAGGATAAACAAGAGATGATAGTCTTGGAAGATTATTTGTAGGAGCTTATATAAGAGATCATGAGCCCCAAAGAGTCTTGCATGAGGCTATTACAGCAAAATAGATTTGAAGAGTAAGAAACTGGATTTGATGACACAAGATGCCCTTTCTAATCCTTTGTTCCTATGAGGAGCAGTCAGCAGAGCTGGGGACTGTGCTGCCTTACTCAGGGACATCAGACAGGTGGCCTCACTTCATGTTTGTTTTTTGTAAAATGATCCTGACCTCTGTCCAAGGGTGCTTTGTGAGTTGGGAATGAAAAGCACGATGTGAAAGGCAGGCATTACTATTATTTGCAAGTGCAGTTTATTGAAAAAGCAGATAAGAAATTGGACAAATCTCTTTCTTGCCTTGGTAAATAATTTTAAAATAGTTGTGTGCAAGGCTTTTCTTCTTCCTCTGTTGCTGGGGCTGTAATAGGAGCTGCAATGTGCTGTGTGGGGGTTTAACACTGAACATTTCCTTTTGCCTATTGCTGTCAGTGACTCCTGTCAAAACACACTAATGAGCACCTAAGTCGTTAGTAATAAACAGCCTCACATTTTGTCTTACTAACAAAGATCAAAGCTGCTATTATATGTAATGATCTGTTATGTTTGATACTTCTCAGGTAACAAAGTGTTTGGAACACATCCCATGACACCAGAAAGTCCCCAGAAAGAAAAACCTCATTCTCCAGTTCTCAGTGGCCCTGGAGCTGCAGCTTGACAATTTTATTATGTTCTACAAATATGGGATTCTTCCATGAAAAATTTTATTGGACCTTTGGATATCATCAAGGTTGAATTCCAGCTAAGACAACTAAACAGCACTGGTTCAAAATATTGCTCTGAATTGTAACTCATATTTTTCTGAATTGTGTACTTGGGAATGAATCTTTTTAAATTGTCCCTTGGCCTAAATAGAAATAAAGTGCCAGGAAAATCAGGTAGCTACTGTGTTTAGGTACATTATAAAGTGTTTACTCCATGTTGTGCTCTTTGATTCAGTTACTGTATGGAGGCTATTTTATCATAGAAAAATTAGATCTTTTAGCAGTGTGGCAATTCATACAAACCAAGACTTTGTTACAGACTAGCCAAGATAAACTTGGAAAGCTGCTTTTCCTTCAGGTGAGTTCTATAACAAGAAATATTAAGCTTCCTGAGATCTTTCTTTTTTCTGTTCTTTTAATGCATTATGAAAAGGCCTCTGGAGTTTTAAGGGACACAAAACACTTCTGTAAAACAATTAATATGGGAAGTTGCTTGTGGGATAATAATCACATTAGGGTTAGGCTGGCATGAATGGCTGCTCCCAGCCACAAACAACGAGTGGGAGCCTCCCACATGGAACAATCCCTGGGCAAGAAATGCTGTGCTCAGAACCCTGCACAGGAAGAAACCCACCATGGGTTAGTTGTTGATTGCGAACACATAATGCAGGAAAAGAAGTCAAACAACAGATGGAAGAGAGAAGAAATGAGTCTGTAAGATGTGCATGAAAAGAGCACCCATAATCCTCCTCTGGAACTGCAGGAAAGCAAAAAAAACCAAAGCTTTCTGTGTCCCACAAAGTCAGGATGAAAAACAAAATGCCCTCTTTCAGTAAGAGTCATGCTGAGGGAGGCCATGGGTGCAGAGCCTGCCTGAGGGCTTGAGGAGGTCAAGCAGGTCCAAACCAGAGCCTGGTAGAGCTTTCCCTGCCTGGCAGCACAGTGTGATCATGCTCAGAACAAATTCAGCTGCTCCATGATAGTCTGTCCTGGAGGGTTACAGCCTGACCTGAGCAGGATGAAAATGCACAATGGATGAGTTCTCATCATTTTCACCAAAGCTCTCTCTGCTCTCCACTGCAGAGCCATGCAGTCCATTGGCTTGAAGTCTTTATGCTTGTCAAAATTAAATAGAAATACTGGAGCAAAATCACTGATGTTTGATTCCAGTTTTTACTGTCATGCTATTTAAATATTGCCCCTGAAAACCACTTTGATTCAAAGACTTTACCATGACCCAGTCCGGCCCCCAGTATCTTCCATTAGCCCTTTTAAAAACTGTACAGATTGTAACACTATTTCTTTTCCTGTGCAGAGTAAATGAAAAGTCCATTTTGATGGAGTCTGCACTTTTTAGACCCTGAGCAAGGGCTGAATAAACAGGAAATGAAGGTCAGGGAGCAAGAAGCAACAGAGAAGGTAAGGTGAGCAGACAGAATGGTCAAAGATGCTGGCAAATGGGCCAACATAAATGGTTGTCCTTTTGCACTTTAGCATTTCAAGTTGCTGTGATTTCACACAGAAGGAAGACAATGGTTGTGCTGCTGGGAAACACTAAAGAAAAACCTCAGCATCAGTTACATTTGCAAGGCATTTTCAAACCTGCTGCTCAATGGCTTCCTATTTATTATGGAATATTCTGTATTAATTCTGTAGCCTGTGATGAGCAGGCTCTGTGCCAGCCATTCTGCATGGGGGCTGCAGAGCAGATGAGTACTGAGCTCCATGGAAGATTTCATTTGTGTAAATGAGGAGCCCGTTATCACAGCACTAAAGGTCCTGGTTTTAAAAAAGCCCTCCTGCGACATTATGCACAAAACAACCTCTTTATGCAGCATGAAAATATTTATGTGCTTCGCTCCAGCTTAAAAAGGGAATTTGCAATAGATGAGGGACATGAGAAAGGATTGGAGTGAGAGATAAGGAGAGATTAGAAAAGGCAGATCATGAGGTACATGACATCCTGCAGCAGTATGTGGAGTAAACCCTCGTGGTTTTTTTAAGATATGGACCTTGAAGATGCTGTCTGGATCATTTATATATTCTTACAGAGTTAATTTTCCATGGGCAAGGAGTATATGGAGAGGTGCTGTTCCTGGAAATGTGAGGAGATGCTGTGCTGAAGGCACTGATGAACTTTGTAACCATCTTTGTCCTTTTCAGCCTTCACCTCTCACCCTCGTGGGGCTTGCCAATGGGCTGGGCAATGCTGCAGTGCTGAGCTCCCCCACCCAAAGCAGGAAACACAGGAAAAATCACCAGTGCAGGGCTCAGATGGACGTGGCACAAGAGGAGTGGTCCCAGTGGGGTGGCTTCATAAGCTCAGACCCTCATTCCCTGCCCTTACACAGAAGGAAATTTCCCCAATTTTTTCAATTCCTAAGAGTTTTTCCTGAAGCAGCAGTTCCTCTGAAGGGCTGCAAGGGCTGTGTGCCTCTTTTTCCATGAGTAAACCAGATATGGTTCAGCCACAGCTCTCCTCACTGACCTGCAGGAGCAGCCTGGGAGCTCCACATGTCCCCTGAGGGCCCTGGAACTTGCAGAAGAGGTGTCTGAGGACACACACAGGAGAGCAGATGGGTTATTGGGAGCTTGATCTGATGGGGACACATCAGCCCACGCATCCACTGCCATGCCAGGCAGCTCAGGTGCCTTCAGCAAAGGCTGTGAGTGCAGCATGGGCATGTTTGTTATTTGTCTTTCAGCAGTTCAGCATTGTTCTTGCTCAGATGCAGATGTACCAGCTCCAGGTTCTCCACAGGACAGCTGATGCCACCCCAGGCAGCCCAAAACGGGTGTGAGCTGAGAGATCAATGGGCTGGGAATGGGCTGTGTCAGCTCCTTGAGGACTTTGTGTGTTAATTCAGAAAGCTGTGCTGCTTCTAACCTCCCCCAGCACACATTCACCCACCCCCCAGGTATCAGGCTCTCTTTTGATGCTGTGCTCAAATAAGCCAGTGTTTGGTTTTTAGGTACTGTTGGAGAGGAGGGAAAATGTTCTGCTGGCTCTGTGGGAGCCTGACTGGGCTGCAGGCTCAGGCTGATGCCACAACAGTAGGTCCTGGATGCAGTGGGGGGAGTCAAGGTCAGCTCCTGGCATGTGACAGTACCCTGAAATGTGGCCAGGGACTGAGCACTCCAGAAATAAAAATACCTGAATCCATGTGGAATCCGGGGTGATCTCATACCCAGCCATAAAGCAATAAAAAATCTAAATGCCCAGTACCCACAGAGCTAATGAAAAACTCTCAAGCCCAAATACCCACAGAGTGACAGCCATGAAAGTTCCAAAATAATTTCTGTGCCAGCTTTCTGTGTCCTCCCATCCACTCCCCAGCTCTCACTGTCACTGTGGTCGATGGCTGCTGAAAAGCCTTGTCCAATTCCTGCATCCTGACGTGCAGGCCAGCAGCTCTGTGAAGGAGAAAATGCTGCTGCTCATGTAAGCTGTCCTGTGTGTTGGCAGGGCTGTGAGCTTCAGAACAGAGTGATATATTTCAGCTCTTGTGGAATTTCTGAATAATCAGCTCATCAAAAAATATCATGCAGAGTTCCCTTGTAGTCCTTTCCAACTTGCCACCTCTCCTGCCAATAGCTCCGTAGGGTGACCACAGCTTGGCAGAGCCCATTAGCACAGCTCTGCACAATCACTCATGAGTAGAGCTGGCTGGAAAATACACTGTTCCTTCCTGAAAAAAAAAGAAAGAAAAAAGATGAGGTGGGGCAGAGGGTGTGTTTCAGGATGCAGGTTTTTCCCACTTCTCTCTCCAGAACCCTCTTCTGCTCCCCCATTGCTCCTCACCTTTTTTCCTTCTTTGACTCCAAGAAAATAAAAATTCAGCTTGACGTGGCAAAGACATTGGATGCTGTTTGATCTGCTGGTGACTCCTCCTGGCCCCCAGGCCTTGGGCTGTCACTGCACTGGCACCTTCTCCACCAGAGACTCCTGAGCAAGTTGTCCTTGGACCTGCACATTTTGCTGCGACTGCCCAGTTTCTTCTCTGGAGTTTCTTGAGAAGACATTCTTGAGATAGATTTCTCTCCCTGAGCAGCACAGCAGCCTGCTGTTTGGGCATCTGGGAGCTGGTACCTTGTCCCTGTGCATGGTGAGAATGGGGATGCTGGCAGGGCCTCAGGGAAACCTGAGCAGCAGTGCTGCAGAGACAAGGGGCTGAGCAGCCAGAGTCCCTTCAGCTGCTCCTCACAGTGCTGGGCCCCCTCCAGCCATGCCCCCTGTGCTTTCCCACTCATTGCAGGCAGCTGTTTCCAATGGCTTTGGCTGGGAAGAGCAGAGTCCCTCTGTGTCCTCCAAGGATGCTCAGCAGCTGCACTGTGGGGAGGGGGCTGCAGACCCCCCCAGGGCAGGTGGCAAACAGGTCCTGCAGAGGAAGGTGGTGCAAAAATCAATGGTTAGTGCATTAGGATTAAAGCTGTGGCATGAAGGCCTTGTATGACTCAGGTAATTATAAGTTTTTAATATTTTTATTGTATTTTATTATATTTTTTAGTCTGTGGTAGCTGCATTGGCTGTGACACTTGGTGCAACATGGGTTTGGTACTTGTGTCAAATTGCAAACCCTGTGTGGGACACAACTGCATCCATCAGTAGCAATGGCTCCAGCACAGGTTTCCTGTTCTGCCTGTGCCCTCCTGGATCTGTCCTGACCCACCTGCAGCTGCCAAGCATTTGCCCTGTCCCTCTCTAGTTGTGTCACCATATCTTTCTGCTCAGGCTTTTGTCATGTCTTTTGTCACCATAGTGACAGGAAAAGAGTGATGATTGCTGGAGTAATTTCCCATATTAGCTAGCACTGGCTTTTCAGCCTAAATCAGCACTTCATTTTCCCTGTGCTCTGGCTGAGCATCACTGGAGCACCATTAAGGAGCAGTGGCAGAGGAGCCTTGGTGTTTTGTGGTGCTGCCAGTGCTCCCTGGGGACAGCTGAGGCAGGGACAGGGCCTTCAGGTCACCTCATGTCCCACCAAGAATGCAGAGAGAGAAGGGGAAGACAAAAAAAAAACCAACTATATTTGCAAAGGTTTCTCCCTGAGTGTATTTGCTCAGTCTCAAGGTCAATAAAAGCAGGAATTTGGGCACTTCCATCTGTCCTGGGGCACGTGCCTGTCTGCAGGGCAATAGGAAGAGCTCCCCAGAGGGAACTGTTCTCCCTCACTGAT